TGAATGAACAAGATGGCGAGGCCTCCTATCATAGGAACCAGCGTCTGAACCCTCCCTGTCCAGTCCAACCTTATCGGTGCCCCAGCCTGCTGCCCATTTTCCCGTATCTGGAAACCAGTCCTCTGGGGCCACAGCCTTAACAGAGTCTGTGATTTATCCCGGGAAAGCATCGTCCTTGATTTCCCGTGACATGTCTTTGACCTGGTGGGCCCTGCATGGCTGGAGACTTGTCTCCTCTTGGGTGGGAGCAGGAAAGCCGTGGAAATCTCAGACCAGGTGGATCCCTTGTCTCGCCCCTCCCCCCCCCCCCCNCCCCCCCCCCCTGTGCCGCTTGGGAAAAAACCCTGGATTAGTGGCTCGAGTCATACCAGCTTCCCGGGGCTGGAGGACTCATCAGGGCTGTTTGTGCCCGCAGACTGAACTTTGGGGGGCTCTTAGCACCCAGCATGCTCTGGGCGCATGCTGCAGGCTTCCAGCCCGCCCTGGCTCTCCTGATGAGACACGGTGTGTCGGTCTAGAGTGAGATAAACCTTGGAGAAGCGGCACTGCTGGTTCCTCCAACAGCCTGGGCTGAGATGGTGCTGGAGACCTGGCGGGCGGGAGGAGGGCACCCGGGTTTGCCAGATCTGTGCTTTATCCTCTAGGCCAGTGGCCCAGCTTTGCTTGTCTAAAACCACTGTTTTCTGCCAATCTGGAAACTGTAAATTAGAGCAGAAACTTGCTCTTTTTTTTTTTTCTACCTGATGATTTATTACCATGGACTTCATACAAATAAATGGCTTAGACTAAAATAGCTAAAATCCAAGACAGCTTTTGTCCAAGAGCCTTAACTTTCTTTGCTGTAAGTGAGAAGCCAGAGGTGGCTTAGTCAGGTGATGGGGGCCAGTGCCCCCAGAGAGCTGGACTAGCCAAGGTTGTGTGCTGGGAACTGGGGTGGAATCGTAGAGTCCTGGGCAGAGCTTGGGGTTGACAGCCAAGTTAATGAAGGTGCAAACAACTTTAAACTCAACTTTTCTGCGTATTGGGCTTCCCTGGTGCCTCAGAAGGTAGAGAATCTGCCTGCAGTGAGAGAGATCCGGGTTCAATTCCTGAGTCAAGAAGATCCCCTGGAGGAGGGAATGGCCACCCAGTCCAATATTCTTGCCTTGGAATTTGCACTCCAAATTCTGTGGACGGAGGAGCCTGGAGGGCTGCAGTCCATGGGGTCCCAGAGTCAGACAGCTAAGCCTGTGTGCTCCAGAGCCTGTGCTCTGAAACAAGAGAAGCCACTGCAATGGGTAGCCCACCCACCACAACGAAGAGTAGACCCCACTCAGAGCAACTGGAGAAAGTCCGTATGCAGCGTTGCAGACTCAGCACGGCCAAAAATAAATAAAGAAACAGATAGTTTTTTTTTTTTTTTTAAGAGGTCTTGCTTCTCTATGAGAGGCAGTGTTGTGAGTAGTTGAGAGTGCAGACTCTTGAGCCAGACTTCAAATTCTGATTCTGCCACCAATTAGCTATGTGACTTTGAGAAAGTCATTTAACCTCTATGTTACAGGGTCATCATCTGTAAAGGGGGCATGTATTTTTGGGCTTCTAGCTTCTATATTCTAGGAAAACTAGCTTGAAGACGGTGGGTGGGTTTTAACAGATACAGTCCACTCTTTCTGCCCTGATGAGTAGAAAGAGTGTCCACTTGAAGAGCTTTCATGACTCTTCCAGCCTCTTAGGTGCCTATCCTTGGACTAAGGGCAGTTTTCCAGGGGGAGGGCAGCCGACACCTAGCCCCTGGGGGAGGGGTGCTCGAGTCCCTTAAATAACAGCCGTCAGCAGGGACGATCCCTACCCTGGGTGATCTTCCAGTCCAGAAGCAGAGGACTACCACTTGCTTTTCCATCCTAGTCTTGTCTTTGATGCCGTGAGCTGTGTCCACAGCATCTCTAATTTCACGTCATAGGCCTTACTGAGTGGAGTGCGTCTGTTCTCGAGACTAAATTCTGTGTTTTAGAAAAGCTTTCTGCTTTGCCACGGTTATTCTTCGGCCTGTATGTAAATCAGTCGCTAAGCCTGGCTTCCAGCTGTGAAAGTCAGGATTTGTGACATCTTAGCCTGTTGATGAAATGCAGATGCCCTGTGTTTACCCTTCCACAGGGCCCTAGCACCTGCAGAAATTCGTGACCAAGAGGAGCTGGAAGACTTGGGTTTCTAGAGCCGTGAGCTTGAGAACTGTTCCTCACTCATACCGGCATCTGGCCCCCAGTGGCCACGCCTGCCGGTCAGTCGCAACGAGCATCACTGTTCCCGCAGGTCCCCGGTGCAGGGCGGGCTGTTTAATTGTGGCTCCAGCGTGACTTTCCCTCCTTCCTCTTCTCTTTCCTCTCTTCTTCCCCCCTTCCCTGCTTCCTCCTTCATGCCTCCCTCCTTTCCTTTCTTCTCTCCTTCCTTCATCCCTGCTCTAAAAATAAATACCAAATTTTCACCTCGGAAAAGACAGACAAATAGATAAATGAGACTCGCCCTCCTCAGTGTCTGGGTCGATCGTGCCTTCTTGCTGTTTTCACTTTCTCTGCTCTCTAGCAGGAAAATGAAATTGCATTCGACGGACGCGCTCTCCTGCGGGGAACCCAGGGTTCTCTCACGCCCTTTCTGTGAGCTCCTGGTTGTGATGAAATGGGGGAAATCTCTGGCAACCTTAGACAAAATCAGCACTGGCAGTTTATCCACTCTCAGGAAGGAATATAATAATTTGCTCATTTTTACCCCATTAAAGAAACACCAGAAGAGTAGCAGCTGATGCCTTCGGAAGACGAGTGTGCTTTAATGGAGACGCCATTAATAATTTACTTTTATAATGTAATAGTTGCCATTTTTGTGACCAAAAATTTGTTTCAACTCTGGCTTTATGGATGAAAGTAGGATCAATTAATATTGAGTGATGACAGCCTCCCTGCAGAGAGAAAATGGGAAATCTTGGTGTCGTCATCCGCCTTGTGACTAAGAAATAGCTTTTCTTAATTGTATGGAACGGAGAAGCCCACGGGGATGTAATTCATTTCTCTGCAGCTTGCGATGTAAATTGAAAGGAAGGAGGAATAACCACAGGCTGATGTGGGCATGTGGACGCAGCCACTGAACTGGGCCTGACTTTGGGGGGGTTTGCTGAGAGGAGAGGACTGCTTCCCCCATGATGGACCGTCTCGGTTCACGGCTCCCGTATGCTGGCGGTGTTCTGGAGCTTTCTGCTGGAAGGCTCGCTTGCACGTCTTGGGGCTCATCGCTTCTCTTCATCCCAGTCTCTGCTAAATGCCTTCTCCTCAGGGGGACCTTCTCTCACCTTCCTGCCTGAAATGGTCACTCCGTTCACCCCATTCACTTGCAGCCCCCACCACCCACTTACCTCCTCCGAGGAACTTGCCGTCATCTGAAGTCATATTCTTATATGTTTGTTGTTACTTGTGGGGGCCCCCCAATAATGTAGGCTCCCCAATAGCATGATTTTACTTACTTGCTGCTAAGCTTTCCTGATGAGTGCACTTGTTGAATGAATGAATGAATGAATGATTAATGTAAGAATTCCAGGGTTGCAGAATCATTTAAGTCTCTTGAATGCACAGCAGCCTTCCCGAAGGGCGTGTTGGCTCCGGGCAGGTAACACATTTGGAGCTGTGGCTCTGAGTGTGCTCTGGTGCCGATATTCGTGTGTATCTGAGCGGGTAGCCAGCAGTCCCAGTGTGTAGCCACGCCACCGACATCCGTCCCCAGACCGCCTGTGATGCGCTCTCTGAGGAGCCTGGACGTCCTGGCGGCAGCGATCACAGTGCCTGCTTTGTTCAGTGGCTTCTCCTTGCTGGGTTTTAAGCGCCTGGAGGATCGTGGCTGATAGTATCTCATTAGCTGCGCCGTCTTCAGCACCTACTGCTGAGCTCCATGAGGCTGCTTCGGGGAGTAGGGAGAGACGCCGGTGGGAGACTGGAGCTGGCTGCTGCCCCCAGAATGAGGCGTCACGAGCAGAAGACAGAGGCCCCTTCTCCCCTCGCCTGCCGTCCAGTCTCCACCTAGAGCCTCCCCGGCAGACTTTGATAGGATGTCGGCAGGCAGAGGAGGAATGCTGCTTGCAGACTTCTAGTTCACAGCAAAGATCGGGGTCTTGAAGGGAGTTTGGGAACCGAGAGACAGCGATGAAATGACCAACACAGTCCACCCCTTCGCGTTTTCCACGTCCACACATCCTTCTCCACTTTTAACTCAACGTAATGATAGAACAGCTCCGTTTCTACCTAACAAGTGACAGCTACGCTTCATACAAGTGATCCAGCTTGCTCTTTCGTCTGAAAGGGGAGCCACAAGGCCCCAGGGGCACGTGTCCTCCTCTGGGTGATGGGGATTATTTTTCTGGTTCAGTCTGCAGGATAGGGCATATTCAGCTGGGATCGGGGGAACCGGGGGAGAAGTCAGCATTGCTGCCATGACTGCGGGGGCTTGGCTTTGTGTTCGGCCAACACCTCGCCTGGCTGGGGTTCTTTGCCTGCTGGGGTGATCTAGGAATCAGAATTCTTACTGCTTCTCCCCTCCCCGCATCTGCCCAACTGCTTTAGTTTTCCGTTAATATGTACTCCTAGCCAAGAGAAGCTCCCGGGACTCCCCTGGGTTCCATTTTTGATGACATCCAGTTTTCCCTTGAAAATCAGGATCGCTCACCCCAGTCACTGCAGGGGCCACTTCTTGGCCTCTGGTTTCTGTGGCATCGGTCATCCAGAACAGCCAAGGGGTGCTGTTAACTTCCGGCTCAGTGACGCCAGGGCTGTGTGGTCTGCTGGCAGTTTTTCTCTCTTGGGAACCCCGACCTCAACACCAGCAGATCGAAGCTGTGGGACCGGGAAGCACCAATTCCTCGTCTGTATATACTGGGTTTAAAAGAGGTGAGGCGCCATACTGGCTCCACCGGTGGTTGCTAGAAATAGAGCCAATTCAGTTTCCAGTCCTTGTCCTGCAGGAAAGAACTCCAGCCTGCCTGGATGTCTCCCGCCTGGCTCCGCAGGGAATGCTGGACCAATACATGGTGTGTGTGTGTGTTTTAACAATGTATACGATTTTGCAAACACAGTGTGGCTGAGGCTCTTTTGATAACACGGCCCTGCATGGTGAATTGGTGGTTTAAAAATGGCATTAGATGGAAGCCTGTTTTTTCCCTCACTTCTCACTGAGTGCTTTGATGGGGCCATCAGACACCCGTCGGTGTCCAGACCGGCGTCGCTCAGCGCCGCAGGGCTGGCTGCCTTTCTGAGGGTGTGCTGGCCTCTTTCTCACGGCCCCAGGATCAGCCTGTGTTTATCTGGGAGACAAGGGGGCAAATAGCAGCAGCATTAACTGATTAATCAGAGGCTGTTTATCAGTCCATCAGCCTGGACGTCGGGGAGTCACCCTGGTGGAGTGATTTAAAAGTGTGGGCTTTGGGGGGAGCGCAGATCTGGGCGCGAGGCTGCGGAGCTGGTGGAGAGCTGTCTCTCATTTGCTCTGTGACCTGAGTGAGGTTCTTAGCCCCTGTGTCTTGGTTTCGTATCTGTAAAATGCCAGCGTATTCCCCAGGGCTGTTAAAGCTGAATAGGCCTTGGGTAGCACCATGGTCAAGGCTCGGGAGACGGTGGCCATGTTCATCACATCAGTGCAGAGTCCCTTAAGAATAGTGTCCAGGAGAGCCCAGCAGGGGTTGCTGCCCAGGAATGGAAGTGATTGAAATGATTGTTTGACCTTGCTTCCCTTCTCTGCAGAACGAGGCTGGCTGTCCTTGCTGACCCCTGTCCAGGGTCCCCTTCGCCTGTAGGATGGCGGCAGGCGGGGGTTGGCCACCTGGGGTGGGACTCTGCGAGGCAGAGCCGCGGGCGCGTGGTCCAGCCCAGGCCTCGAGGACCGCAGGTGTCTGATGAGAAGCGCCTCCTCTGAGGGAGAAGCCTCTGGGCGGGAGAGACGCGTGATGCCTGACTGAGTGGAGACCTTGAAGGAAAACGGAGCGCCTCTGTGGACCTCATCTCAGGCGGCTGTTGGGTCCTTAGCCGCTTGAGTCTTTATCAGCAGGTGTGATACGCAGGTGGCCGACCTTTGGAAGTCCGGTGCCCCGCGGGACGCTGGGTGCCTCAGCATCACGGCTCGTGGCCAGTTTGGGAGCTGAGGTCTTTGACTCTGGCCAGCAGTGTTGAACTAGCTCGGCTGAAGGGTCTGACTGGGGGACTGTGTTTGAGTTATTATGTGTGTGTGTGCACGCAGGTGATGGGAAGCGGGTGTTACAGATGAAGATGTTCGTGGCCGATGGTGATTTCGGCCATTTAGGACATTTAGGAGGGAGGGAGGCCTCTGAGGTCCTTGCAGTTCCAGAACCTTCCAGCCGAGTCCCCTATGCGCCTCCCGCCGTAGCCTCATCAGAAGTTCTTGGAACTTTGGGTTCCTCTAGCCTTGTCAGGAGTTCCTGGAAGCTTTGGGTTCCTCTGGGTTCTCCCCCTCCTCTTTCTGGCGTCAGTTGCCTGTGCTCTTGCGCTGAGGAATTTTTAAGGCTGTGACTTCTCCTCACGAGATGAGGGTGAGGAGTAGGCTCCTGGCTCTGGCTTGAACCCGCCCACGTAGACCTTCTCCACTGCTTCCTTGCGGCCAGTGTGTAGTGAATTCTTGGTTTTCATTTCTTGCTCACAGGGAGACGGAGTGCTCTGTGGGGAAGGATATCGCTTTTCTCTGTGGCTCCCTGTCCCAACATTTGTTGGTTTTCTCTTTTTTAAGGCAAAATCTTGAGTTTCATAAACAGTGATAATATTGGTTATGGCAGGCAAAAAAAAAAATTGGAACTTTGGGTTCCTCTAGCCTTGTCAGGAGTTCCTGGAAGCTTTGGGTTCCTCTGGGTTCTCCCCCTCCTCTTTCTGGCGTCAGTTGCCTGCACTCTTGCGCTGAGGAATTTTTAAGGCTGTGACTTCTCCTCACGAGATGAGGGTGAAGAGTAGGCTCCTGGCTCTGGCTTGAACCCGCCCATGTAGGCCTTCTCCACTGCTTCCTTGCGGCCAGTGTGTAGTGAATTCTTGGTTTTCATTTCTTGCTCACAGGGAGACGGAGGGCTCTGTGGGGAAGGATATCGCTTTTCTCTGTGGCTCCCTGTCCCAACATTTGTTGGTTTTCTCTTTTTTTAAGGCAAAATCTTGAGTTTCATAAACAGTGATAATATTGGTTATGGCAGGCAAAAAAAAAAAAGTGACTTTCCCTCCTCAATTCCTAGGCGGTTTTTTTTTTTTTTTTTTTTTACAGCTTAAACTTCTTAATGCTGTGTCAGCTGTTAGGAAAACGGGAAGGAAAAGAAGAGAAAAACAGTGAGTGCGGGGACTATGAGCAGGCAGTCCTTGCTCTGCTCAGACCAGAGTCTGCAGTGGGGTCCTAGCAGAGATATGCTGGGCTGTCACCCGTGAGGCGAGTTCTGAGGCTGGGGTCCCTGCAGAGATGTGCTGGGCCATCCCTTTGAGTTTGGGGTCCCTTCAGAGACGTGCTGGGCCAACCCTGAGGCTGGGTCCCTGCAGAGACATGCTGGGCGGACTCTCTGAGGCTGGGGTCCTGGCAGAGACACGCTGGGCGGACTCTCTGAGGCTGGGGTCCCAGCAGAGATGTGCTGGGCGGACTCTCTGAGGCTGGGGTCCCTGCCGAGATGTGCTGGGCAGACTCTCTGAGGCTGGGGTCCTGGCAGAGACGCGCTGGGCTGACTCTCTGAGGCTGGGGTCCCTGCCAACACGTGCNGAAAACGGGAAGGAAAAGAAGAGAAAAACAGTGAGTGCGGGGACTATGAGCAGGCAGTCCTTGCTCTGCTCAGACCAGAGTCTGCAGTGGGGTCCTAGCAGAGATATGCTGGGCTGTCACCCGTGAGGCGAGTTCTGAGGCTGGGGTCCCTGCCGAGATGTGCTGGGCCGACTCTCTGAGGCTGGGGTCCTGGCAGAGACGCGCTGGGCGGACTCTCTGAGGCTGGGGTCCCTGCAGACATGTGCTGGGCAGACTCCCTGAGGCTGGGGTCCCAGCAGAGATGTGCTGGGCGAACTCTCAGGCTGGGGTCCCTGCAGAGACGTTCTGGGCCGACTCTCTGAGGTGGGGTCCCTGCCGAGATGTGCTGGGTGGACTCTCTGAGGCAGGGTCCCTGCAGAAACGTGCTGGGCTGTCGCGTGTGAGATGAGTTCTGAGGCTCTGGGTGGCCCTGGAGAAGAAAGCTGGGAGGAAGGCACTCTCAAACTGCCGTATGTGAAGCAGAGAAGCAGTAAGGTTGTGCTGGATGGCACAGGGAACTCTCTTCAGTATCCTGTAATAAACCATGAGGGTTTCCCTGCTGGCTCAGTGGTAAAGAATGGCCTGCCAGTGCAAGAGATGTGAGTTCGATCCCTGGGTCGGGAAGATCCCCTGGAGGAGGAAATGGCAGCCCACCCCAGTATTCCAACTGGGAAATCCCATGGACAGAGGAGCCTGGTGGGCTGCAGTCCATGTGGTTGCAGAATCATTGGACCTGACTTATTTAGAGACTGAACAACAACAGCAACAATAAACCATGAAGGGAAAGAATACGAAAAAGGATGGGTATAGGTATAGCTGAATCACTAGCATCAGAAACTACCACAACATTGTAAATCCACTCTATCTTAATGAAAAATTTAAAAGACATTCATCCAGATTCCCCAGAATCACCTTTTTGAAAGGATGGTTTCCTCCTAAACCACATCTGAAGACCTTTGAAATTCAAAGGAAGAAAAAGAGGATGCTTAAAAGTCAAACATTCTACTTTTAGATTTAATTTTTGGATCAAATATGTGACATGGCAGGTTTGGTTTTCTGTGTATTTTTCACATTTTAGAGTTCTTCAGGAACTTGGAATAACCCATTTACTGTGTGTTTGTGCCCGTTTGAAGAACATCTGTGAAGAAGTGGTTGGAAACAGGAGCTCGGATCCAGGAGTTACTCCCAGCTCCTGGGCAGACTTGTCAGGTCACCTCCCCTCTCGAAACTCCTGTTTACTGAGCACTCGACTCTGAGCCACGTAGGCCCTGAATGTGAATTATCACCTGAATCCTGTGAGGTTGATACTATGATGATCAACAGTTTCCAGTAGGAAACTGAGGTGCAAAGAGGCTCCGTGACTCTTGGAGGGAGACCCAGCTTCTATGTCGTGAGGCTGACATTTGAGTCCAGGCTGTGTGGCTTCTTAAGCCCACAGTGATAACCCTGTGCACACTGCCCCTTCCTTCTGCACAAAACAGGCTCTGCCACCTGGCTCAATTTTGTTTTCTAAAAAGATGTGTGAAAAAAAAAAGATTGTTGGTGGTATCTGGATGTTACAGGCTTTGATTTATCATAACACATTATTATTTATGTTCTGAAGAGTCTCAAGACTCTTGAGAATCCCTTGGACTGCAAAGAAATCAAACTAATCAATCCTAAAGGAAATCACTCCTGAATATTCATTGGAAAGACTGATGCTGAAGCTGAAACTCCTGAAACTCCAACACCGACTCGATGGACATGAGTTTCAGCAAGCTCTGGGAATTGGTGATGGACAGGGAAGCCTGGTGTGCTGCAGTCCATGGGGTTGCAGAGAGTCGGACAAGATTGAGCGGCTGAACTGAACTGATGCGAAGAACTGACTCATTGGAAAAGACCCTGATGCTGGGAAAGATTGGAGGCAGGAGAAGGGGACAACAGAGGATGAGATGATTGGATGGCATCACCGACTTGATGTACCTGAGTCTGAGTATACTTCGGGAGTTGGTGATGGATAGGGAGGCCTGGCATGCTGCAGTCCATGAGGTCGCAAAGAATCAGATGCGACTGAGCGACTGAACTGAACTGATTATTATTTGTCTTTGTGATTTATTTAAAAACAAGATTTTGATCATAAATTCAGTCTTTGAGTATAACTTGGGAGCAAACTTGGGAGTATAACAAGATTTTGACCATAAATTCAGTCCTTGAGTATAACTTGTTCCTTGAAAAAAAGTCATGTATATTAAAATGGTTTCTTTTAATGTATGGTTTCTGGAAACATGTGAGAAGCAGAGGTCACCTAAATTCTTACGTCAGGTAGAGCATATGTGAAACTTTTCAAATCTCCTTTTCTTGCCTGACCTTACTTCAGCTTTGAACACCTTTTGACGTTGGTTGGATGGGTACTGAGTATAGTTCTAAAGGAGCTGCTTTAAAATTCTTGTCTAACTTCCGGGTGAATGTGGGGTGGGTCTTCTCTGAGTGTCTTTTTGTTTCTTGAGCATGAGCCACATATTCACTTGATTTTGGAATAATTCTGGATGGTGTCCTGGACATTGTACCTGTTACATCACGGAGACTCTAGATTCTGCTATGTTCGTCTGGTGAGGATTGGTTTTTCTCTTTGTTTCAGCCTGCGGTTTACTTGATTGGACTCCAGCTGTGAACTCTGCTTCTGAGGTGGGGCCTTTCAGGGTTCTGTTCTTCCAGACTTGACGGGGCTGTTTGGAGAGTGCTTCTTGCATGCGTAGTCCAAGAGTCAGTCGGAGATGTGGACACAGTTTATACTCAGAGTTTGAGACGTCCTCTCTCTGGCTCCCTCCTTTCTGGGATTTCCCCTTCATATTCCAGCAGCAGAAGCACCCCAGGATTCTGTCTTTAGTTTCTCCAAGCCAGTAAAACGGTGGGTTTCTAGGTTTTAGTTGCCCCTGTGGCATAGACCGGGACTTGACCTTGGCCAAGAGCTGTAAATAACGAACTCTGTGTACCAGCTCTCCTCCAAGTATCAACTCCGCTTCAGTACCTACCTGCCTTGGCTCACTCTCCAGAGCCCTCAGATTTTCTTTCTTTTTTTTGGTTTTGTCCTGTGTTTAGTTATCCTTTGTGGGAAACTTGTTCCGCTAGGGGCTTCCTCAGCCTGTATACAGAAGTAGAGCTGGAAGGACAAATATCAATATTCACATTTTACAGCTGGACAGATGAAGCACTGAGGAATCCACCTCGGAGCTTGTTAGTAAGGACTGAATACAAGTTTCTGGGGCTGTGGACCGGTCTCACTCACCTCTCTCCTCACGAGGACTGGCTCAGCAGTTGTCCAGGGGAAATTTCTCTTCCTGCTTCAGTGCCATTGGAAAGACATCCGGGCTTCCTGCTGATTCTGATAAATCGATCATCTGCGGAGGGCCGGAACTCCGGTGTGTGCTGGTTGGGGCATGCTTTAGGGTCTCTGATTGATCCAGTTCATGCTCCTTGCTGCTAAGTCCATGACCTCACCTCTCTGAGCCCGCAGCGACAAGGGGTCTCTGCCAGGGTGAAAAGAGATGCCGTAGCCGGAGGGCCTAGTACAGAGCAGACCTTCAGGACGGATCTCTGAGTGGACAGGAGGGGTCCTTGAGCTGTCTTTTCTGTGGTTCATCTCCCCATCTCCCGTGGGGCTGGCCTTGGCTCTGCGTCCAGGCGTTGGTATTATGGGAGGAAAGAAAAAGAAAGAAAGTCGCTCAGTCGTGTCTGACTCTTGTGACCCCATGGACTGTAGCCCACCAGGCTCTCCTGTCCATGGGGATTCTCCAGACAATAATACTGGAGTGGGTTGCCATTTCCTTCTCCAAGGGGTCTTCCGGCCCAGGGATTGAACCCAGATCTCCTGCATTGCAGGCAGACGCTTTACCCTCTGAGCCACCAGGCAAGCNACTGGAGTGGGTTGCCATTTCCTTCTCCAAGGGGTCTTCCGGCCCAGGGATTGAACCCAGATCTCCTGCATTGCAGGCAGACGCTTTACCCTCTGAGCCACCGGGCAAGCTGATGTGGGAGGCAGGGAGAAGGGAAATGTCCTATTCAAGGTGAGCAGGCATCTGCCGGGCCCAGGGTCTTTCTCCCTGGAAGTCTTCGGGGGCCCGGACCTGGGTGTCTGCGCTGAGCTCCTCTCTGTTCCCCTGTCCCCCCACTCTCCGTCCCTGGCCCAGGCTCATGCTGAGGGCTGTAGACCTGCCGTTCTAAGGCCTCTCAGCTCTGGCATGTCCTGCTGTTCCCATGACTGGTGCCCAGTGTTTATCCTGCCCCAATAACTGCACCCGGCTGCTGCTGGCAGCTCCCGCCATTGAGAAAGCCTAATAAAAACCATCAGTTCAGCTCAGCTCAGTCGCTCAGTTGTGTCCAACTCTTTGCGACCCCATGAACCGCAGCACACCAGGCCTCCCTGTCCATCACCAACTCCCGGAGTCCACCCAAACCCATGTCCATAGAGTCAGTGATGCCATCCAACCATCTCATCCTCTGTCATCCCCTTCTCCTCCTGCCCTCAATCTTTCCCAGCATCAGGGTCTTTTCTAATGAGTCAGCTCTTCGAATCAGGTGACCAAAG